GATGGAGCAGTGAAGGAAGAACTAATGATATTTCAGTTAGAAGACTAAGATAGCCTGAGCTGAAGCACCGAAACATTAAGGAAAAAGACTGAGGTATGTAATCACTATTTTAAGTGAAAAAACAACACATCATATGTATAGATAACAGATAAATTGTCTGGTTGTGATTTGAACATCTCATATGTGGGGAATGCAAAAAATAAACCAGGATTTTACTAAAGAACTATTAAGGGAAAGCTTATTATTGTATGCAATAAACAATACTCCAAAATTATTAATATGGAGGAGTCAAAAATATAAAATGGATGTTTTCTTATCCCCCATGTCTTTCAATCTCATTCTTAGTCTGAATGTGCAGTGTGTGGGGTTTAGACAAGTAAGGTGGAAGTATAGCTGGATATGGAAATATCAGGCCTGCCAAAATAGGCCTGAGAGTTTATTGAGCAGTAGTTGTAGCTACTGTACAGTTTCATAAGTCACCACAAGAAAAAAACTAAAAACCAAAAGAGAAGAATAAAAAGAAATACATGGTGATTATGCATTCCTTATATAAGCTCATACTTGAGGGCTTGTCAGATATACAATCTCTTAAAAGAAGTGGCAAAAGTCTACTTTCAAAATGGGATACCAGGGGAGAAAATTCACTGGGTTTATTTTGGTAGAACCTAAATCCAGAGATCCTTGAGATTTACAATATCCCAATGCCCCATACAGACCCATTACCTTATGGGGTCTGGGATCACTCTTTGTTTAGTCAATAGAATAATTCCACATCTTAAGGTCAGTCCATCTACCATCTCTTTGCCCTGGAGAACTTAGTCAAAAACTCCAAAGGCTATCTGTTCCTTATCATATATAATCAAATCAGTGTGTGATTCTGGCTTTAAATTATCAGGTCCTTGAGAGCAGGGACTATGCCTTATCCACTGAATGAATGAATGAATATACTGTATTTGGCACATATTTGTGATTTTTCCATAAGGTCTAACATGGACTATAGGCTGTAGAATATGAGATTTAATTATGAAATGATTGAGTCTTGAGAGTTTATGGTGTGCTAACAAGGGAGGATGAGCATTTCTGATTCACACGTTGCTCACTTCTCAGACATGAGTGTCCTGGTGAATGTCAATTAGTCCCAGAGACCAACAGATATGTTTCTTCAAAGTTTGAATATCTCTGGATTTTATGAAGGCAGGCATTTATAAAGCAGATCACTAGAGTCAAAAGTGCTGCATACAGAAGATCATAATGCACAGTAATAGCACTAATAATTCTGGACTCTTCTCACCTTTCATGTTGAAGGAACCATGAGGGAAAGAAACCAGTCTTCTACCATGGAGTTCATCCTCTTGGGAGTCACAGGTCAGCAGGAACAGGAGGATTTCTTCTTCATCCTCTCCCTGTTCATTTACCCCATCACAGTCGTGGGAAACTTGCTCATCATCCTCGCCATTCTCTCTGACATTCGCCTCCACAACCCCATGTATTTCCTCCTGGCCAACCTCTCCCTTGTCGACATCTTCTTCTCCTCTGTAACCATCCCTAAGATGCTGGCCAATCATCTCCTGGACAGCAAAGCCATCTCCTTTGGGGGATGCCTGACACAGATGTATTTCATGATAGCCTTGGGTAACACAGACAGCTACATGCTGGCAGCAATGGCATATGACCGAGCCATGGCCATCAGCCGCCCTCTTCATTATACAACCATCATGAGTCCAAGGTCCTGTATCCTGCTGGTGGTTGCATCCTGGGTGATTGGAAATGCCAATGCCCTTCCTCACACTCTGCTCACAGCTGGTCTGTCCTTCTGTGGCAGCAAGGAAGTGGCCAACTTCTACTGTGACATTTCCCCCTTGCTCAAGCTGTCCTGTTCTGACATACACTTGAACGTGAAGATGATGTACCTAGGGGTTGCTGTTTTCTCTGTGCCATTACTGTGCATCGTTGTCTCCTATGTTCGTGTCTTTTCCACGGTCCTGCGCATTCCATCCACGAAGGGTGTACACAAAGCCTTCTCCACCTGTGGGTCTCACCTCACAGTTGTTTCCTTGTACTATGGGACAGTCATGGGCATGTATTTCCGGCCTCTGACGAGTTACAGCCTAAAGGATGCTGTGATAACTGTGATGTATATGGCAGTGACCCCGATGTTAAATCCTTTCATCTACAGTCTGAGAAACCAAGACATGAAGGCTGCTCTGAAAAAACTCTTTCACAGTAGAAGCTCTTCATAACCAATGTGAGGTCATACATTGCATACCTATTAACTTATGGGGTCTGGGATCACTCTTTGTTCGGTCAATAGAACAATTCCACACTTCAAGGTCAAAGTGCTCACCACTGGGAGGAACTTGGAATTCCACCTCCAATGTTATCTCTTACAAGAAGCTTCCTCTAAACTTTACAGCCATAAATTCCTAGTCTCCAAAGTCTTATAACCATTTAGTGAAACAATTTATGGAAATTATCACTTTGACCACATTGCTATTTCTGTTGGCTGATCAGCAACACAAGCTATTGGGTTCACATCCCCCCTACAAAATTGACTAGCACGGTGAAGTTGAAAAAAGTTTGAGCCTAGGCTTCTACATCTACATATTAAAACAATAATATCTGCCCTGCTGGTGTCACAGAGAGTGGTCATAGTAGCTCATGCTTTGAAGACTACAACTCAGCATTTTTATTTAACTATTATGCTTAATCCTGCCTGCTAGGCTTGCAAGTCTGAGGGCAGAAGCTGTGAAATAGATTAACACAAGACTGTCTTCACAATCCTGGTCATATAACGTACATCCAGTAAACACTGGCAGAGGTGGAATGGGTGAATGACAATAATGTCTCTGATATGCAATCTGATAATGATTATAGATAATCAGAGTGGACATGATTTATCCATCCTTAAAAATCTTTCAGGAATTTGGGAATATATTTTTGTGCTTCCTTCATATTGATTAAAATAGACTCTTTTAAGATCATAGAGTTCTCCCTAAAATTTTACTAAAATGATGGTAATGTAGGTTTTTAATGGTTTGAAGTAATAATGATTCTGCTCTAATAAATAAAATAAATGCAGGTATAATTCATTCTAATACAAAATAAAACTACAATGATCAAAATCTTAGGTGCCATATAATAAACGAAGAAAAAAGACCAGTGTTGATAATGACGTGACTGAGTTTCTCCTGAGTGGTGCAGGGAAGGCGAGGCCATGATTCTGGCCATTAATTCTGATTATGTAGGTAACATTCCCAAAACAGAGTTAACCCAGCACGTCACTGAATACCCACTAAGGGACCCCACAATCCAAGTTTTGTCCTACTTATGAGAAAATCAGAAGATTTTCTCAAAACATTAATGACATATAAATGATTCCTCAACAATCTTATTTTTCCAAATAAAATGTTCTTAAAAGATGGCTTGAGTATATCTTAGAATAATATGCAGGTTGTCTTATTATCCAGTTTTTTTAACTACCAGGTAAAATATAATTATTGTCTTCTATATATAATTCATGTTGCCAAGAATTTGTCCATGAATGTTTGAAGATGATGGTACTCACATTTTAACATGTTCTGGGACCCTAAAACACCAAGGATGAGAACTATCAAAATTATCTTCTTTTGAACTGAAAAGGATTTGATTACAACTTAATATAAACTTGTATGAATGAATGATCATAGGATGCAGTAAATAAAGGTATTTTATTAGGGCATTTTCAAGGCTAGGCAATGAAAATGTCACATAAATTTATCTATTCTCTATCTCTCCCAGCCTGAATGTGAAGGTTTGGGATCTGTCTTGTTCCCTGCTCTACTTCAGCACTTAGGACAGTTGACATATAGTAACTACTTAATAAAATTGTGTTAAATGAATAAGTGAATCCTTCCATAATATATTTAAATAATGTATACAAGGTTAATATTTCTCCAATGGGTATAACTCAATAAGATCAAATGTAATAAAATATTTCAAATATTTTCTATAGAGAAATATTAAGTGCTAAAGAGAACACTACATAAGAAGAGCTGAGAAAATATATATTCTTGGGAGAAGTTCAAACACTTAACTATTGAAATCAAATTCACATTATTCCTCTGCATTAAGTTAGATAAGGGAAGTTGACCTTCCTTTCTTTATTTCCTACAATAATCATAAGAATCTATATGTACATGAATAGATTCCATTGCAAATAAAAACTACTGCCCCTGTCTTTCAATTCATTGTCTGAGCCATCTTCCTTTGATTCTGTCAAGCATGCTGTTCTGAAATAATATTAACATAGTAATTTAAGTTACTCTATGTAAACCCTAGGATTGACTAAGTTTGGAAAAGCCTTGATAGCTTTTATGTTAATGAAGTTTCCTTAGGATGGTTAAGGAAACAGAAATCACATCTGTTATATTTAAACCAAAAACAATGAATACAAAGAATCTGATACAAAGGTGCATTCTGAAAGACTAACAAAAGGGAAAAGAATGCCGAGGTTGCCCAGTGATTATTGAGTGCAGGAAGTGACTTCCTTCAGAACCAGTGTAATAAAAGGGGAAAGGTTGTGGTGGTATCAGAACCTAGGGATGACCACATCTCTGACACTCTAATCTCTGAGGACCATTCAGCCGCCCCCCAGTCTTTACCTGCAGAGGTGACTTCTATTTGGGGGAAATATAAACCCTCAAAAGCACTTTTGGGGGCAAGGGGATCTTATGGAGTTGCTATTTGTTTTATTTGTTGGTCATGGAAATATTAAGAGGCATCCCACACACAACTCCAGACAGTCCTCTTTGTCCTCCATCATATAGCAACAATGTGATGTCCTTGCTCATTGGGGTTAATCACCCTCACCAACAGAGAAATCTCTTTTTATCCCCCTGAGTAGCCCACGGAGACACACTACAATTTGTTTGAATCTTAGCAACAAAACATTAAATTTTCAAAATTCAAATTCCCAAAGATTATTACTGATATCCTTTTTATAAGGCTGTAAACAGCCGTTCTCGCAGCATGGCAGCCCCCGTGGTCCGGCTGTGGCTCGGCCTTCAGCCGGGGGTTAGGACTCTGAGTACCCTCTCCACCGCCGTGTCCCCGGCCACTCACGCTCGGAGACCTGGCCTGCGGACAATAGAAAGAACATCCAAAAGTGAAAGGCAGCTGAGAAGAAAGGCACTGCCTCCTAGGACAGAGAAAATGGCTGTTGACCAGGACTGGCCTAGTGTTTACCCTGTTGCAGCACCATTTAAACCCTCCACAGTACCTCTACCTATTCGAATGGGTTATCCAGTAAACAAAGGAGTGCCTATGGCAAAGGAGGGAAATCTGGAACTTTTAAAGATTCCCAATTTTCTGCATTTGACTCCTGTAGCAATTAAAAAACACTGTGAAGCTCTTAAAGATTTCTGTACTGAATGGCCAGCTGCACTAGACAGTGATGAGAAATGTGAGAAGCATTTTCCGATTGAAATTGACACAGCTGATTATGTTTCATCAGGACCATTGATTCGAAACCCTAAAGCTCGAGTAGTAACCTTAAGGGTGAAACTTTCCAGTTTGAATTTAGATGATCATGCAAAGAAGAAACTTATTAAACTTGTAGGAGAACGATACTGCAAGACCACAGATGTACTTACCATCAAAACAGATAGGTGCCCTTTAAAAAGACAGAATTATGATTATGCAATGTATCTACTAACAGTTTTATACCATGAATCTTGGAAAACTGAAGAATGGGAAAAAAATAAGACTGAAGCAGACATGGAAGAATATATATGGAAAAATAGTGCCTCAGAAAAAAATATCCTGGAAACACTTCTTCAAATTAAAGCTGCTGAGAACACAGAAGTAAATAAAGAAGAACTTCTTGGTACTAAAGAAGTTGAAGATTACCAAAAATCTGTTGTTACTCTTAAGAATGAGGGGGAAAATGAAATTAGCCTTTCTCAGTACAAAGAATCAGTGAAAAGAATATTAAATTTGGCATGAATTACAACATAGAAAACCCTTATGATATATGTAATCAATATCTAATTTGATATAAAAGTGAAAATGTTTAAAAACCATTGTTTTACATCAGAGTTAAAATTGTTCCTTTCATTCTAATGTATGATGGCAATGATTATTTCCACGTTTTCTAAGCTTATACACTGGGTTTATTAGACTAATCAGAAGATCTCTGTGATTTCTCTGGTTCTAAATTTGATTTTATTTCTGTATAACATCTTTAATATTCATATACTTACATATATAATATTAAAGGTGTTAATATTCATATTAAGTATTATTTTGTCACCTGCCACATTTCTTTCCCCTCAGATTGGCATTATTGATTGCTTTTGAAAGATGATTTTGGTTATTTGAAAAGCTAGGCTCAGAACCAGCCCTACATTATCGCCAATTCTGGGTTGAAACAGATCCTCAATTAAAGTATTTTCTAATCTAAAAAAAAAAGGCTGTAAACAATGAAAACAACCAAAAATACATTTTCAAGAATAAACATATATGCCATAAAAATGCATTAAAAACAAATGACCACAGGGCTCAGATGAGAGGAAGTTCGAGAGGGGATAGTCAGGGGAATGAAACTAGGGGTACTAGGTGGTTCGATGTAGGATATGACCACAGTCCTAATTTTCAGGCTTGGTAGTAAGTTCCAGAGTGTTTATAAAATTATCATAGATAGAAAGATGATATATAGATAAAAGCTCTACATGAAACAATGATGCTTATCTCTCATCAAGGATTAGGTAGAGACAAAAAAGTAAGGGAAGAGAGAGACGTAATGAGGTCGGGAGTTTAATCAGACATCTCTAAGAGAATCTGGAAGATTTCAACATATTTCTATAGCATAGACTAAATAACATTCCTTTACAGATAAGAGTCATATTTTTGAAATATTAAATGAATTATTCAATGTCTTTTACTAAGAAAGATGCAGGATGTCAAATCAACCATACCATTTGGTCATGCAGAGAATTAAATCTTGTCATTTTCAACAGTATGGATGGGCCTAAGGACATTATGATAAGTGTAATAAGTCAGGCACAAAAAGACAAATACCACATGATCTCACACATGTGTGGAATGAAGATATAAACCCTAAATACAGAGATAATGTGGAATGGAAACAATTGTGATAGCAGCAGATGTTCAGGGTTTTGAGGTTGAGCCACTAATAGGAAAAGGATGCCTTTAATGACAATAATGAACAAGAGAGTAATTTAAGTCTAATTAGTTCCATCTGGAGTGTGTTTTTAAGAATTCCTGTGACTGTTGTGGAGGTTTTGAATTAAAATAGTAGAAAGAACACTTGAAGCCTTGGAGCAAAAAACTAACAAAGCATAGGTCAGAGTGGAGTTGATAAGTTATGGAAATACATGTGGGATGGGGAGAAGGTGGTTAATGGGTCCTATGCTGCAGTTAGATGGAGCAAGAACTCTGGGTGAGCTATTGCACATGAGGGTGATATAGATCACAGTTATTACTGTACATTTCAAAAGCTAGAAGAAAGGATTTTGAATTTTTTCGGTTTTAAAACTTTTTATCTGCGTATTAAAAAATTGTGCATTCCAGTAATTAAGATCATTTGAACAAAAAAAAAGGCACTCTGATTAAACTGCATTTTACAGGCTGCAGGACACCTTGGAACAGCTTGGATCTTACTCTAGATTCACCATCCTCCCACCCAACATCTTCCTTCACTGACATGCAAGTTCTTTTCTTTCTCTTCCAGCAGATGGGAGAGGCAGGCCTGGCCTTAATTGTCAGTAGTTCTTGATTTTTTGATGTGAAAATGGGCAGCACAGTCATTTACACTTGATCCAACCTCTTTGCATCTTACAAAGTTAAACAGCTAAAAGAAGTAAAATAAGGAGGCAATGCTTGTGGAATACACCGTGCATATTGGTGGTGCACTCCTCATTACTATTTGCCTGCTTGCTTCTCCTGTTCAATCGTTTCTTTTGAAGGCAGAGGATTTTTCTCCCGTGTTTCTGTCTTCTTCAGTTTGGACTTATCGAATTTCTCGATCTCAGCCATATCAGACGTGGTCTCAGAGGAAGCGGAGCAAGAAGCGTGAACAAGAGAAGTCTGATCTGCTCAGTGACCATGGCCGAGTGGGGATTTTGAAGTTTTAAGATAAAGAAATGATAAATATCTACAGATTTATTAAATTTATTTATTGGTTTCAACAGTTTTTTGGTGGAATCTTCAGGTTTTTCTACGTATAAAATCATGTCATCTGCCAACAGGAACAATTTAACTTCTTTTCCAGTTTGGGTAGTCTTTACTTCTTTCTCTTGCTTAACCCTGGTCAAGAGTTTCAGTACTGTGTTCACTAGGAGTAGTGAAAGAGGACATCCTGGGTCTGCTCCAGACCTTAGAAGATACACGTTCAGCTTCTCCACATTTAGCACAATATTCTACACAGCCTTTATTGTGATGAGATACGTCACTTCTATACCTAATTTGTTGAGGGTTTAAATCATGAAAATATGTTGAATTTTACCAAATTTATCAAGGATATCAGTTTGTAGTTTTTTTAAATTAATTTTTAAATGTATATATGACAGTGGAATGAATACAAACAACAATAAGTGTTGGCAAGGATGTGGGGGAAAAGGCACACTCATACACTGCTGGTGGGACTGCAAATTGGTGTAGCCAATATGGAAAGCAGTATGGAAATTCCCTGGAAAACTGGGAATGGAACCACCATTTGACCCAGCTATCCCTCTCCTTGGTCTATACTCAAAGGACTTAAAAACAGCATACTACAGGGACACAGCCACATCAATATCTGTAGTTTTCTTTTTATTACCATAACTATTAGCACATTTAATTGTTCAAAATAATGGGTTTCATTGTATGTTTTTATACATATATTAACATGTACATAACATCCTCTGATCATATCCAGTCCCCTTACAAACTTTCTTTTTTTAAATTTTTTATTTGTTCTTTTTAGATATACATGTTCAGTAGAGTATATTTTGACATATTATATACATACATGAAGTATAACTTATTCTAATTGGGATCCCATTTTGTGGTAATTAAACATGATGTAAAGTTACACTAGTCATGTATTCTTATAAGAACATAGGAAACTTAGGTCCTATTCATTCTACAGTCTTTCCTATTCCCATCATCCCTCCCTTCCCTTCATTCCCTTTTGTCTAATCCAATGAACTTCTATTCCCCACTCACCACCTAGTGTTAGCATCCACATATCAGAGACAACATTCAGCCTTTGATTTTGGGGGGGATTGGCTTATTTCACTTAGCATGATAGTCTCCAGTTTTGTCCATTTACTGGCAAATGCCATAATTTCATTCTTCTTCTTTATGGCTAATATTCCATTGTGTATATGTACCACATTTTCTTTATTCATTCATCTGTTGTATGCCTTTCTACTTTCACATTGCAGACACCATGGCTTAGCTATTGTGTATAATGCCATGATAATCATGGATATGCTGGGATCCTACTGCATGCCGACTGATTCCTTCTGGTATGTACTCAGGAGTGGTAGAGCTGGGTCACGTAGTAAAGTTCTATTTTATTTTATTTATTTTTTGCTTTTAGAAGCATCTCCATACTGTTATCCAGACTGGCCATACTCATCTACATTCCCACTCCCAGTGTGTAAATGTTCTGTTTTCCCTGAATCATCACTAGCATTTCTTGTTTGGTTTGGTTTGGTTTTTTACTTAATATAAAAATAGTCATTCTGACAGGTGAAATGAAATCTCAGTGTAGTTTTGATGTTCATTTTCCTGATGACTAAAGATGCTGAGTGTTTTTTCATGTGTCTATTTGCCATCTGTATACTTGTTCTTTTGAGAAGTGCCTGTTCAGCTCATCTGCCCATTTTCTGATTGGATTATTTGTCCCTTGCTATTACATTTTCCAAGTTCTTTATTATTTGGGATTTCAATCCTCTGTTAGATGAAAAGCTGGCACAGATTTTCCCATTTTGTAGGCAATCTGCCTCTTCACCCTGTTATTTTCCTGTGCTGTGCAGAATTTTATCCATTTCTTCTAAGTTTTCCAATTTGTTCTCATATAATCATTCATAACAGTTTCTAATGATCTTTTTATTTTTATGGTATCAGTTATAATGTCTCCTTATTCATCTCTTACTTTATTTATTTAAGTTTTCTCTCTCTCTTTTTCCTCTCTTGTTTAGCCTGGCTAAAGCTTTGTCAGTTCATCTTAAAAAAAAAAAACTGTTTAATTGATCTTTTGTATATATTTTTTAAATTCTTCATTTTGTTTACTTCAGTTCTGACTTTTATTTCTTTCCTTCTCTTAATTTGGGTTTGATTTGTTCTTTATTTTCTAATTTTTAAATAATGAATTATTTTTACCTGTATAAGGCAGTTGTGAATATGAACCATACTAGATATTTGGTGATACAAATAAATTAGTGTTAAATTTTTAGGTGAGATAATGGCATATTAGTTATTTTCTTAAGAAATATATAAATATATAACTCTTTCCTTAAGAGTTTCTGTTTTTATAGATACACATAGAAATTTACCAGTGAAATGATATATAGAGTTTGGTTCAAAGTAAATCTAAAGGAATAAGGGATGAGGAGGAAATTGGGGATAAAACAAGCAAATCTGGCCATGAGACAGTGACTATTAAAAAAGGTGACAGGTATTTAAATTGACTTCATATTGGCTCACTCTTTTTTATTTAGCTAAAAGTAGTACTCAAGAAATCATGAGTTTGATGTATTAGTTTGGGGGAGGTTGTTTCAAATATATAACCTTCAAAATAAAAATGTAATGGATACAAAATGTGATATGTACTATATCAAAATATAACATAGACATATACAATATAACAATTGTTAAAGAATAGAGGATGTAGCCAATTAAATTGATATTAATTTAAATTATTAAGTTAATAAGAACAGATATTATACCACAATGAAACATCACCTCACACTTGTTGGAATGACCATTATCAAAGAAATAAAAGGTGAGGTGTTGGTGAGGGTCTAAAAGGGGTGCTGTGAAGGGACATGAAGTTACCCTTGCAGGAACAGTGACTAAAAGGAAATACAGGTTAACTTCTGGAGTGCTAGCAG